ATATATATATATATAATGTTTTAAAATTAAATAATTATTTATCTATTCAAATTAACGTATATTATAATTTTCGATATTATATCAATAATATTATTAATATATTTATAGATAAACTAATAATTTGATAAATATAACTTGTTATATATTAATATACTTTTACAAAAATATAAGTATATTAATTAGAAATATATATCTGATCTTATATATTTATATTTTTGTAAAAGTATATTAATATATATTAAGTTATATTTATCAAATTATTAGTTTATTTATAAATATAGTAAAAATATTATTGATATTAATTTATCAGTAATATTAAAATATTAATAATATATAAATTCTATTATTTAGTAATAATAAATATATATTATTTGATATATTAAAAAATTATAATATACGTTAATTTAAATAAGCAAACAATTATATAGTTTTAAAACATTATATATATATATATTAAAATTTTAAAATTATTAAATTTTTAATGAGAAAGACTAAAATTGCACAATTATGATATTTGAGAGATTAAAATTGTTTAATTAAAAATTGTGAGACTAAAATTACACAACTGTAATCTTTTAATGACTGAAATTACTCAATTAAAACCTTAAGGATCAAAATTGCATAATTATAATACTTGAGCGATCAAAAACACAATTTCAGTTTTGGAACGGGCCGTTCTGAATCCAGAACGGTCCGTTCTGGTTTCAGAACGGCCCGTTTTAGTTGCAAAATTAACACACCAGAACGGACCGTTCTGGGTCCAGGTGTTTTCAAAAAAAATTGTCATCCACGTGGCATCCACGTGACTAAAAGTTAACTACGTTTAAATAATTTGGACGGAAGTCCCACATTGAAACCAATTAATTAATTTGGGACTAAATTGAAACCAATTAATTAGTTTGAGACCAAATTGAAACCAAAAATAAAAATGAGACTAAATTGAAACAAACAATTAATATAAGAGACCAAAATAGGGTTTTAACCTATAATAATTTATTGGATCTCCATTGAGCTGAGGTCTTTATCAAGAATAATTTCTTCCAAATCCCTAATATATCTAATCCAAGATCCTAAAAGTAAGGTAGAAGATATTTATGAGTTGAGTTTTAAAAGAAAAAATTTATCTAAAATAATATTCAATCTATCAATTTGTCATCCTCTAACTAATAGGAACATATTGTTATAAATTTAAGTGCAAGCACAATTAATAAACAATGTCTTGTTAAAGATTTATTAGACTTAGAATACGATTGTTTAATAGGTTAAAGGTTGTTTTTGAAAATGTAAATATGCGGATGTAATATTCTTTATTTAAAAGAAAAAAAGAAGAAAAAAAATAGGAGCGAGAACGGGGGCGGGACGAGGAAACCCGAACCCTGCCGGGAGCGGAGATGGAGACCCAGATTTTATCCCCGACAGGTATCGAGGACAGAGACGGAGGCGATTTAAATTTACGGGGACGGAGGTAGGGAACGTAAAACCTGCCCCGCCCCGCCCGGTTGCCATGCCTAATAGGAACACAATTGTGATCGTCAATGATTTAATAGGAAACAACATAGTCACGAGACATGCAATCCACTCTGTCTAGTCAAATATTATTTTTTTTCTATAAGGTAGCTCCATTCTCACGAAGACTCGTTTATATTTCTTTTTCTTTTGTGTATTTTTTATTATTAATATTTTAGCGTGTACATTGTATAAATTTTTTTACTTTTATATATTTAAATTTTATAATAAAAAAATATTTTTGAATGTGAAATGTATATTATAAATAAATTATAATAAAAATATTTTTAAATATATAAATTATATTTTGATTAATAATAAATAATTTAAATCATAGTAAGAAATAATTTAAATCGTAGTAAGAAGTTATTTTGGAGAAAACAATATATGCACAAATAATGTAGAAAATATAGCTGTGAAAAACAAAAATTGAGAATTTTCATTCTTAAATTATATATTTTAATTTGTATAAAAATACAATATGCCTTTTCTGAAGACTTAACTTTCTAAACTTCTAATAAAATTATTTGTAATAGTTTTTGAGAGAAAATGTTTGTAATATCTTTGGGACCGGAAACATCATTTTTAAATAATTAAATAGTAAGTAACGATATTTACTAAATAATAAAATTATAGATGTTAACACTGTACTTATTTCCTCAAATCAAACAAAAAAATGATTAGGATTTATTTGATTTCAGTCCCACCAGTGTATTAAATGTAAACATTAGGTATGTATTGTTAATATAAAACGTTTGGCTAAATTGCAGTTTTTAATTTTTAATTTATAATTTTGGTCTCATGTTTTAAAATATAAATATTTAGTCTCCTAATTTTTAAAAACACAATTTTAATTTTATGTTAATCTGACATCTTTAACAGTCAAGTTTACGTTCAGTCGTAACATGAAAAATATTATTTTAGTTAAATTAATTGTTTTAATTAAATAGATCCATAAATAATATTATTATAAATAAATAAAATTATTTATTTATTAACAATATTATTAAATAATGATATTTATTTTATTTTAATAACATTATTAAATAACCAGATTTCAATAACATAATTAATGTCAATTATTTAATTTAAATAATATTAAAAAAATTATTTTAATATATTTATTTATTTATTTAACATTATTAAATAATTTTATTTATTTTATCTAACATTATTTTAGTAATGATATTAAATAATGTTGTTAACTTTGTTTTATTTTATCAATGTTATTAAAAAACTAGATTTTAATATTATTAAATAATGTTATTTTATTTTATTTTATTATTAAATAAATTTATTTATTTTAAATAATTTTATTTATTTTATCTAACATTATTTTAGTAATGATATTAAATAATGTTGTTAACTTTGTTTTATTTTATCAATGTTATTAAAAAACTAGATTTTAATATTATTAAATAATGTTATTTTATTTTATTTTATTATTAAATAAATTTATTTATTTTGTTTTTTAAATTATGTTATTAAGTCAACTTATTTTAATGATTTCATTAAATGACATTATTTATAAAATTTATTTGTGTATTTATTTTTAATGATTTTATCTCTTAATCTTTTCAATTAAAAATTAATTTAAATTAAATAATATTTTTTTCTCGTAAATTAAGTAGTTAGATATTATTAATTAATGCTGAAAATAAACAATTAATAAATGTCGAATTAACGGTAGAATAAAAATAATATATTTTAAAAGTTAAAAGTACTAAATATCCATGTTTTAAACTAAAATGATCCAAATTGTGAATTCACAAAATAATTGATAAAAAAAGTATAATTTAGTTAAAACGTTTTATATTATAGGGTAACAAAAAAATTATTTTTTACATAAATTATAATATCATTATTATAAGAGTAAACAAATTTATTATATATTTACTATTTTTAATATTCTGTTTTGGTATATTCATAAAATATATTAAAATTTCTAGCTCAATTAATTGAATTGCGAGCATAAATTGTTATGAAATTCATGATATTGAATTCAATTCTTATAAATAAGAAATCATAAAATTATAAAAATATTTCTTGATTTAGATGTTCAGTCAAACCAATAATTCAATGTAAACAACGTTTATTTATTATTTTGGTATATCTTTACATATTTTATTATTTATATTCAAGAATATTTTAAAATAATAAATTGCGTTTCTTACATATTTAATTCATTTGACCGACTCAATTCACTATATGCATTTCTTACATATTTAATTCATTTGACTGAGTCAATTCACCAAAATGATACAACTTCTAGATTAGTTTGTATTTTATACTGAGTTATGAATTATAATGTAATTTCAAGTGTTAAGTAGAATGATGATAGAGATCTTACATGGTTTAAAAATATCGATTAAATTAATGTATATAAATATAAAATAATTTTTATTTTATAAATTAATTATATCATTTTGTAAGATTACTTTTTTTAGAAAAATATTTTATATGATTGAGTTAAACTTTTTTAAAATAATAAATTGAGAATTTTAACATATTTTATAAAAAAGTTATTTTTCTCACATTATTTGAGGTTGTAATAAATTGAGATAATTTTAAAATCTACCTATTATAAAGAAGACAAATATATAATTTTTCTTGATCTCTTTTTTTTTATTCGTTCCTAGAGTATCCACCGCCGACAGCAGTGACTAATCTTCTCACTACGTTGGAGGCACCTCAAAGGGTGGGATAACTATTCTTCTTGATCTCTACTATTTAATAGACTATTATACTTCTTGAATATATAAAAAAAATATAATTTTTTTAAATAATTATACGTAATTTTTTAATATTTTATTTATGTTCGTCCCTCAACCCCTCTAATATTATATAAAAGGGTTGTTTTCCCAAATTATTGAGGTCATTAAGCTACGTAATGATTTTAATGTTACATAATTTTTTTTTATTTTACAAATTAGATTCAGTATCATGTTGCATGTCATGTACTCATGTAGGAATTTTTAGTTCACTTCGTGTATTAGAGATTATCATGTTTATTTATTTATTTTTATGTAATCATATATGTATCTTTCATTCCATCAAAAATCAAAATAAATAAATTAAATATAATATATATGATATTGACATATAATAGTTATAAAAAAATATCAATTAATTATTAAATAAATAAGCTTAAGTAAACAAAAATCAAAATTAAAATCAACCTTAAATCCAACAAAATCATACAGCTGGTTTTACTCAAAATCGAGTTTAACTTTATTTCTACTGTTGGGGGTGAGAATGGTTTAATGATACGATTAGTGTATTTTTCTTTAAAACATCATATATATATATATATATATATATATATATATATATATGTATA